TAACCGAGGGCTGCACGATAGTTCTTTTCATTCTCATGGGCCTTTGCTAGACCGAAGAAGAGTCCCCAGTTTGACCGAGGGTGTTGCTTCGCTTTCTCCAACGCAATAACAGCTTCCTTGTAATGCTCAAAGACGAGATACGTAGCGCCTACGCGGTAATCCCAGGTGGAGTTGTCGATTTCGATTTGCTTGTGCTTCTTCACCCAACCAATGTACTCGTCGATCTCTGCGTTCGAAGGCGGGTTCCATTCTTCAAAAGGTCTGTCTGGCTTGGATAGCTGTTTATCGGTGTCAAATAACCTTTCAGAATTGTCAGGAAGAACTCACCTTGGCTACAATACCCCATGAGATCCAAAGGTAATCCTTGTCTGTTGTTCCAGTCGAACAGCTAAACCAGTGGGTCGCCAGCCGCGCTGCGATGCGCTCGAGAACGGAGTATTTGCTCGCGGCATCTGAAATGATGGACTTTACCCACTCACTCTTCTCTGCATCCTTTGCATAGCCTTTGGCCACTTGCGAATTCTTCAGCAACGCCAAGATAGCGTCGAGGTTCTCTTCAGAATACAGGTAATCGTATTTCAACCACGACAAATTCTTCTTGGAGAACCACATATCGATCATCTTGGGGTCGCAGAACAAGTCAACCAGCTTGCCTCCGATCCCAGTCATAAACTTTCGTTGTGGCTCAAAATCATCGAGCGTCTTGACCAAGGCCTTAAGATACTCATAAAACCACAATGAAGCATGGTCGCGCATTGCTTCGAGGCTTCCGTCCTTCCGACTGTCGAACAGAACATCGATGCACAAGCTGATCATGGTAACGTTCACAGTGTTGTCGTCATCGAGGTGAATATGTACCTTTTGTGCCATGGCCTGGAAGAAATCATCGAACCTAAACCTGGCGTAATCTGTTGCATCACAAGCTTTTCGTATGAACCGGCGACAAAGCTCGACTTCGGCAGTAGTGATCGCTTCAGCATGTAACTGAGCGATCGCAGATTCGGCTCCCGAGGAAGTATCCACGGACAAAATATCCCTAAGGCCGTCCTTGAATTCCACCCTGCCCTCCTTGTCAATCGTGAGCACAGGCGAGTAGGTAGTAGCAATTTGATCTGTGAGGAGGAAGTCCTCCTTGAAGGTGAAGAAAAGAACGCTCTCGAGAAGCTTGATCTTTGGTGGGTAGGTACAGCCTGCAATCCACACAAGAAGAGAATTGAGCACCTGAGCCTGACGTGAAGTCAGAAGAGCGTCCAGCGTCTTGATTCTGTTTCTCTGTACGGCGTTCATGTCGGCACTTGTGTTGTTGATGACCTCCTGAACTTTTCCTTTAGTGTCGCAAGCGTTGATCTCCGTCAACTTGGCCTCCAAGTTTCTGTAGTTTCCGCGTATGCCTTCAAGCAAAAGCTCGATGTTCGCGTCGCTAAGAAGAGCCTTCAGACCAGGTTTAGTTTTGCAAACCTCCTCGATCCTGGCGCTTGTGACAGCTCTCAGATCGCTTGCGTTCGGCAGCGAGTCTGAGGCTATATTTGCATTGTTGCCCGCTCGTTCCATGGATTGGGCAGAGACTCTGCGTTTTCCGAGAAGAATGGTGTCGACATCTTTAACTCGTTGCGAGATCTCAGAAAGCGCATCGTCGTTTCCGGACACGAAGAGACGTAGGGAAACCCCGTTAGACTTGGCTGAAGACGCAGCTTGGCCGGCGATAGTTAACATCATCACCTCTACACTGTCCAGCTGGCCAGGACTATCGAAACCGTCCATGCATATGAAATAAGTCCCTTTCATGGCGCGCTGTAATCCCGAAACAAGATTATGGCATCGATCCTCAGCTCGCGCAATGCTTGCGAGTCGCGTGCACTCGTCTGCTACAGTTTGAGCATATCCGACATCTGCAGCTGCAAACTGGTATATGATGGACCCAATACACCGTTCGAGGGAGTCGTCTTTTTCATCTCCGTAGTAATAGTAAGCGATAAAAGCCTGATTAGGTCCGCGTGCAGCCCGACATTTCTTTTCGAGATGAGAAACAACGTGGTTGAAAAGATGTGTTTTGCCGAAACCTGAGTCGGCCTTCAGGAAGAGGACCTTCTTTTCGTGCTGTTCCAGATCAGCCCAGTGGCTGAATGCAGGCTCGTCTTGACTGAGCCATTCTCCTGTCCCTTCCACATGCGTTTTGCAGAGCTCACTGTGCCGCTTGGTCCAAGTCTCCCAGTCCCCAGGCTTCTTCAGTCCCAAACTGTTCGCTATCTTGACCAAATTCTCTTTCTGTTGGTCTTTATTAGCTCGACCGTCCAGAGTAGTCTTCATCTGCTGAGTGACGCTCAGAACCTGATCACCGACTTTGTATGTGGCTTGGAGGTATTCAAGTATTTCACTCTGGTGGCGGGCTCTTTCCTCGTCAGATTTGACGAGATGCTTCGCAAGCCCTCGAACTCCTACTAGTATGACATCAGCCTCGGCTCTGGTGAACTCCTGAATATGATTTTCCATGAGCTGGAGTGACTCTGCGACCGCATCGTTCGAGTTGAAGAGAATGATTCCGGCCATCGACTTCATTCGCTCTCTTGTGCTGGTAGCTAGCTTGTAGGAAGAACGAAGCACACCCAGAAACTGTGATAGAATCTCGTATGCTGGCCTACGAAGAGGGCGCGGCAAATAGGCTCCATCTTTGCCGGCCTCTTGTTCCAGAAAGTACACAAGACGTCGCAAGAAGGCGGATGAGCGTTCCATTAGAGTGACGAACCCGTCCATCATATCGTTGATGCCGCGTGCTGCTTGAATCACGAAGCTTATCGCATTCCAGCATTGAGCAGTTGGTCCGAAGATTACACTTGCCCCTTGTGCGACAATGCTCCCAAACTTCTCGAGACAGGTACCGACATTGTTGAGAACAGTTCGAGCATGTTGGTGGCTTTTCGTCGTTGACTCTTTGATGTCTGCATCAATCTGCAGCTGGAAGCTCTTGAAGGTAGTAGTACTATCTAGCTTTTTCTTGGTGGTGTCCTCATACTGCCGCACGACCTGTGGCCAGACTTCGCTGAGATCTTGGTCCTCGTCGAAGACCGGATCTGTAGGTTCAGGACTATCCCGCCCACGCCCAAACCTCATGTTTCAGTGCCCACAAGAATACTTCGAGGGTTTCTAGAAGCAGCGAAGCTATAGCCTCACGGGGGCCAGCAGGTCTGTCGCTAAGTCTGGGAGTGTTTGTCTCTTCTGCAAAAGATCGAGGTCAACTTCGGAGTAAGTATACCGTAGACTTTGGGCTGGGCACGCGCCCACTTTGTTGTCGCAGAGGCGCTATTAAAGCTATTACCTCCGAAATCCTAAGAACAGGATTTCCGTTTTGGCCCCCAGATCTCAGCCGTGCCTCACCACACGTCGCGTGCTTGATTGGCTGCTGAGTACCGTCTCATCATCCCGGTCCAAATACCATCACCGGTCTAGGTAAGATCGCGTCATTTGTGGTACTGCTGGACATGGTATAGCTGCAGGATATATGGTGTAGCATGACTGCAGTATTGTGGCTGCTCGTATTGTCTCCGCGGTGGGTACAGCCTATTGCCACGGCGTCGCTTGTTGACGGTTGTTGAGACTGGGGGTGTGTGTACGCCCTACGACATAGCACAAATCAAACGCGTGATGGAGTTAAGGTTGATGCGCAAAGAGATGCGATGATGGAGTGCTATGAACATCAGCGGGCGCGGCCCTGGGGGCGCGCGGTACGGTAGCTTCCTCGTGTGAGCCGAGGCCGGCGCTTGCTCCCGGGCTGACTCAGCGCCCGTCCCACCCACATCATGCCCACCACTTCTGGGCGCGACCGATCATCAGTGCCAGACACTTCAGCTCTCTCGATATGCTTGCCTTGATACTACATATGGGGTCATGCCCCGAAAGACTGTCTGCAGTGTTACAGTCAATCCAGCTAAGCCCATCCTACCCATGAGTTCCAAGGTTAAGTCTCCATCCGATGGGCGGGGTTTCTCTTGGATATGCGCTGCATCGTCATTTAGCGTCTCACGGTCGTACCACGCACTTCCATGCTGGGGTTCTGTTCTTGTTGCATTCTTCTGTATTGCCTTGCTCTCTGCCATTAAGCTTAATTTCGTGACTGGTATCATACTGAGAAGCATGAGCGCGCAAAGTTGCGCTGCGTCCAATGGGTGGCAGGTGGCATGGCGGGGCTCCTCACCGGATCTTCAGCTCGATAACATGTGAGGTATTGTTTACTATCGTGTCTTGTGTCTCATCTTCCTTCATTATTTGAACCCGCACCTCGATCAAGCGTGACGATGGCAGACGCTCGTCCGTGTTGGCGATGGCAGTGTTGTGAGTGCCACGGCGACAACAGCGTTGACAATGACCTTGGGTGTGCACATTGCGGATGTCATTGGAGATGCCATAATTGCAAGATTTTCGATGCAAGCTATAGGGCAGAGACTACTGCTGGATCTCTTACCGCGACGGCCACACATCAGCGGTTGAAAGCTGTCGTCCGCATGGCTGATCAGGTTGTGCCTTCCTCGTCGTAGGCCTACCCCACCAACAAGCTTCCTCTCAGCGCCCGGCACACGATGGCAATCGTCTCTCCTCTTTCACTTCTTTGCGCAAGGATACCGCCTGCTTGACCAATCTGCCTCCGGTCCCGGACCGTTCGCTAGACCTCTCCTTCACCTCCAATATACCCGACTCACTCTTGCCATTTCGAATCACTTTTTGCCATGGATACCTGTTTTCCTATATTGTTGCCTTATGGTCTTAGCAGCCAGTATCAGGATATCTTGAGAGGGAGGAAAGATACGCCAGTGCGATGTGGACTGCCGCAATACCGCACTGCAACGCTGCTGGAGATTTCGAGGCTCAATCCGTTTGATCCGCACCAGTCTCTGCCCTCTCTCGGCCGTACGCCCAACCCCCGTCAAACCATTCGACAAAGTAAGCCTAATTACCCTCGTCAGAAGGAGGATAATATGGGGTTCCAGCGCAACATCAAGAAAATCAATATGGGTCCAGCAACAGGCAAAGAGAGACGCGGTCGAGCGAGGCGAAAACCTCAAATTTCGGTGCGCAAGCTCCCCAAAGCTGGCTCCAAGTTTAGTCCCGGATTCCGAGTGGGCGCATCCCAGGACTTGCCAATCACGCTCGATAGCGATGATGACGCGCCGACAAGCACTCCCCAGCGGTAAGTCAAGACAAATCGCGCTCACAATACGCCTGTTCAACGCTAACATCGGTAGTTTTGACCCTCGTCGAACGCATGTCTCACTCGCCGAGCCCAACCTACGAGGTTTCCGCTACGATGGCACGAGTGAGAGCCCGCGCGCATTACCGAATACGTTGCATGCACCCATAGGCTTCGTCCTACGACGCTCCTCGCCAACATCTAGCGGGCCCGCAAAGGATGGATCGCATGCTGTACCCCAAGAAACACTACAACGAGATTCTGATGGCGGTGGAGAAGCAGCACCGATCCGTAAGCCTGCCACGCGACGCACACGCCAACCTCACGCACTCAATGAAAGCCGGAAAGAGAGCAAGCCTGGGACTATCAACATGAGTCTTATGGATATCGACGACTTCGGTCTGAGAAGTAAGGTCGCTCAGCTAATGGCTGTAGCACCCGCGCTACCCATTGTGGATCTCTATCACCTCATCATGGACAGCGAAGGCGATCTACCGTTGGCGAAGAAACAAGCCATCAGGATGAGTGAAGCACCACCGGCACGGCATCAACCAGGCTTGGATGCAGACGGCGAAGAGGTCATGGTCAAGATAGACCCCAACGATCCCGCTTTTGAGTGGGACGACGATGAACCTCAGCCTGAGTCAGCCGCTACAATCGCATCGAGACCACATTCCAAGCCGAAAAGCAAAGCTACAAAGTCAAAGAGTCTACACCATCATGCAAAGCCTTCCAAGAGCGCAAATTCAAGTGCAAAACACTGCTCAAATACGAGCGCCAAACGAACGAAGTCGTCTTCAATGAACCCTACGCACGCCAGAGAGACCAGCAGCGACCGCGAGTTCGTCGTCCCCGATAATACTGTTCATTACGATCTCAATTCTGATATCTCTAATGGCTCTGATGAGTTTCTCGGTGTTGAGGTACGCAGTAGACGTGCAGACAGAGACGTTGAGATGTTTGACAGCGAGGACCCATTAGATCTGGATATAGACATGCAGCCGCGCTTTGCATACACCGCCAGACTGATGAGGAAAAGGGCTAGAGTTTGAAGGATGTAAAGAGTGGTTCGATTGTACTTAGCGACAGGTAGATTGAGCGGTATTGATACCCGGCGTTTGGTGTATGTGGAAGAAATGACAGGTCGATTTCGGGTTGCTGCAATATTCTGTCAATGCATACACGATTCCGCGCAGCGTCGTACAAAGTGTACAGAGCTGCAGCCATCTGCTAGCTACGTGATGTCCATTCGTACTTTGTGGCATGAGCGCCTTGTCCTGTGATTGCTCCATTCAATGCCTGCTCGCTCTTGCTGTCACCTTTCAACGGGCGCTGAGACATTGGAGTCTCACAGGTAAGACAACAAACAGCAAAATCATCTTTAGCGCAAACAACATAGATAAACGCCATGTTCTCTCACCTTTGGCAGCGCGCTCTCAGTCACCTGGGTCTTCGAAGTGAGATTGGCAGTACACCATCCTTCCCATCCACCATATCTCCATCCTCTACCCTATCATCTTTCCCATCTCAAAGTCCCGACATGGCAGTCGACTGCCCCCAATTCTCGTACACGAAACCAAAACGTCTTCCAAAGAAACGGTGCCGCCCATTCAATGCCGCTTTCCGGGTTGCAGCGGCGCAACTCGATCTCGTCAATCGCAAAGCGGGTGGAGTTCGCATACCAGCGATCGTAGATTTGAGTGATGGAGAGCCCAGCCCGGAGGTAGAATACGAAATGGTGGAATTTGCTGTGCAGTAAGTCGAAGGCATGGGAGTGACTAGACACGATATCTGACGAATACACATAGGAACGCACTGGCAAAGGAACGTGGTCTCCCGAGTGGCAACACGTTCGAACAACGGTCCTTAAATTGTACGAGTAGTTCAAAGTCACCAATCTCGCAACGAAAGCGACGTTTCATCGTCGACTCGGATGACGAAGATAGCGGTAAGTCACTACCTAGGTATGCTTCACATTCAGACCCATTTACTCACCTTACTCAGCATCTTCAACGTCGTCTCCACCATCTAGCCAGAAACATCACCAGAAAGAGCGATCTATGCGTTCCGTTAGTCGCAACATAAAGCGACGAAGAGATAGCTTTCTATCTGACTCCGACACTCCCGGCGATGAACCAGTCAGAAAGGCGAAGAAGCCGCGACAAGACTTGGCGGCCGAGCTGGACGACCTGGATATCGAAATGGAAGGTTGGAGCGCAGCTGAAGAAACGCCTGGGAGACAGCGACGTAGAAGGTAGCCGCTGAGGTACACGGGCAGCGGGCGCGAGGTACGTTCATTCTGCGTGCCGCTAGGGGAGACACCACAAATCCTATTCTTTACAAACAAGATACATTTGACGCAAACATAGCACAAGAGCAGGAAATAATAAAGGCATGAAATCGTCTTCTCATCTATCCAACATCTAACTAAATAGACCCATCCCATCATCAAACAACCAAGAAACACCCGTCACATCTACCTCCTCATCGCTGCACTTCCCTATGTGACACAACTAACCCATCATCATCCGCACTTAATGGTGGCACATTTTCACAACAATGAACCCCAATATGAGCATGCCCACAAGAATACCGCCGATAATGCCGACTACAGCTATAGTCGACAAACCGCCTTCAGCGCCAGAGCTGCTGGACTTCACTTTGAGGTCCAGAGTAGACGTAGGCTCAGCAGCGGCATCTGCTTTGGAGATCTCGTGGAGGATGTCTGAGATGGAGGATGGAGAGGCCATGGGTGTGTAGGGAGTCGTCGGGGTGACGATGGTGGCCAGCGCAGAGAGCTGAGTGACAAGCGGCATGGTGGGGGGTGAGTACGTGGAGGTGGCTAGTGGCGCGATGGCGCTGGGGACGTTTAATGGGGCCATGGTGTTATGTTGGTTTGTTGAATTCGGGATGTGAGTTGGAAGTCCGGCTTCGAGACTATCGTGAAATGCGATGATGTAGATGGAGCTTGGTGATGGAAGGTAGTAAGCAGATATGGAAGATCTTTTGTAGAACGAGTGGCGATGTGGTGTGAATGATCGTGAGACATGATGCTTTCACAATAGCTGTTAGAGAGTTCTGGTAGACTGTCGTAAGTTGACAATGTTGCGAATTGTGATAATACTGTGGACTACTTACTGCTGGTCTCTCCGAGCCGAAACGGATGGACGGCACGTGATCATGCCTGTCATCCTGCGACCATCTCCACGATACTCGTGTTGAATCCTTCCAGATCACAATCATCTGTAAGCAGGATGCCTCAGTGCTCTTGGTGGCGCGCGCATATTCGCGTTGTTAACGCTCGACCCAATGAACTGCTGCATCTGCGTCTCCACCTCTTTAGCAGCTAAGCGCTCTTGCTCCTGTTGTGCTGCGAGAAGCTTCTTGTTCTTGTACCGCGTCACCGTTTGTTGATAGAAAACCCAACAAATGAACGAGAGGAAGAAAGGCGCAAAGACACACATGGGAATGAACCATGGTAAAGGAATGGGACCGATCATGCGTTGTTCGGCGTTGATGGGCTCAGCGCGGTGTGAGAACTTTAGTGCCGGCATGTTGTGCGATGAACAGAGAAAAGACTGTACGTATGTTATTTGGATTGGAAAGTTGCGATCGAAAGAATGTAGGTGAGTTGTAGAATGAGTGTGTAGGTAAAGAACGAATGCGCAGGTAAGAATGGCAGGTGGGGACGGGACCTTCACGATAGTTAAACCACAACCAGCACAGCCCCCAGCAAATGAAAAGAAGTGAAACCCACCCCAAAATAACCGCCGAAAACCAACGATGTTGCCGGCGCAGAACCAATCTCACTGTATCAAGTAACGAGTCTCGGAATTAAAAAAGCAAAATTGCAGGATACCTATGCGAAACTCTAAACTCCACTAGCTGGAAACGCGTCTGACAGCTGTACCTGTTTGATCTTCAACAACCACACCATATTCTCGCTGTCGACCAAAAAAGTCTACCTGCGATTCTCGCGATGCATTGAGGGCGAATGTAGCGGTGATACGTCGCTGTAATCTCGCGTGCGGTTATAATCGTAGGGTGGGCCGTTTGCACTCAACGGCGAAACTGGCTGACCGGCTGGGTACTCCGGATTACGGGCGAGCGCCGGCAGTTTGATCACAGGACGGGACTTTGGATTCGAGCTGCGCGTGGGTATAAAGCTGGGTAATTGCAGTCGATATTCAGCATTATCACCAGTTCCATGCGTCGCGACAGACTGGAAGCTATCAGCGGAAGTCCTTCGATCTACGTGATCTCGTGTGGCATACACACCTTTTTCGTCGAAGCCATCTTGCCAGTTCTGTGCGCGAGCAAGGTCGACAGGATCCATGCCATATCCCTCCGAAATTGGTATGTCAGCATAATGTGTGGTGGCAGGTGAGCCGTCACGGCGGCGGCGTCGTCCACGGACGACCTCTTTCTCATAATGTGGATAGCGACGGCGGCTATCACCCTTTTCCGGATCATGGGTCGTGGGAATTAGACCCCTACAGTACTTGATCGCTAGGAAGCCTACGAGGACGACACCAAGGGCCAGTATGATGACACCGATGATGTGGCCTGGGTTTTTCGCGAAGCGGGGACTGTCTCGCTTGGCGAAGGTTGAATGAAGATCAGACGATGCATCCACTATTGGCGTTATGGGATCAGTCATTTCGAAAGGTGTGCCGCGATCGAAAGCGACTCCGGTGGCTTTAGGCATCAGGGTGGACACGGTGCCGTAATCGACGTACGATGGTGACACATCAATCGGCGGTGCTACGTTTGGATTCCAAGGGTTGTTCGAGACTGCCTTTAGGAAGGGAGACGCACTTGCGTGAGCACTGGCGGCTGAGGTCGTCTTCGTACAAGCTGTGCAATGGTGGCAGCCGATGCTAGAAACGGGAATGTCCGAAGAGAAGAATGTGCCTCCATCGGATGCAGTGGATGTAGACGTAGGGACAGCCGACGAGTAAAAGGCACCAGGATCTACTGCTGTTGAAGTGCTTGTAGCGGAGGCAACAGCAGTCGTTGAGACGTCTGAAGAAAAGAACGCTCCTCCTTCTGAAGCAGTAGACGTCGTTGCAGCAACATCCGATGAGTAGAATACACCAGAATCGACTGCAGTCGAAGTGGTAACAGAAGACGAAGTCTTCGTATCTGAAGAAGCAGTTCCTTGCGCGGCATTTGGCCAAGTAAAAGCCGCCATAGTATTATTTTGTGACATGTTGGATGTTGAACAAGTATTGTTGGTGATTTCGTCTTGTTACGTCTGGTCGTAGTTGGGATGAACGAGGACCTGGGAAGATTGCGGGAGATCACTTGTAAACAGTAGCTCTAATCGCGGTGTCCGCACAGGTTCAGCACCATATGGTGACTATCACTGGACATAAGGCCTGTGAGCTCACAGTGCCGGGTTCGATGACACTGAGCGCTAGTCACATCAACGGTGACATTCTGAAGGGTATACTCCAACGCATTGTAAGCTTTCGGATTCATGAGATCGTGAAGGTCCAGCAAACCTAGCGCACAATGCCCGACGAAGTAGGGTCTAGGGTCTGTTCCTCTCCTACTCCAAGTATCAGCATACTGCTAAGAAATCACACGACCATAGTAGCAACCTTCTCATACCTAAGCACAGATCGACTTCAGACATGGCGTCTCCGTACAGCGTTCCTTACTTCAGCGGTCTCGCCCTGGCGGCTACTAACACGACCGATGCTTCGCCACTACAAAACAACGTGACCTCCGTCTATCCCAGGCCTCTACACCCACCAAACACTTCAAGCGCCGAATACCGTATCTGGCTGGGATTCTTCATCTTCGGTGCCGTTTCCGCTGCGATTATGGTCATAATGATGCTCTGGCTGTGCGCGTTATCATCTGGGGTCGCTCGTTTGGCTCGTAGAAAGGGCGAGGAGAAAGAGGAGCAGAAAAGCTTAGCAAGTGAATATGAAATGCATGAGAGGGTTCGGCAGCCGGAGCGCGCGGCGCTGCCGCTAAGAAGGGCTAGATAAGATGAGCATATAGAGATGAGAAGTAGAGTCAGGAAAGTCAATCGTATGAAAGTCAACTTGATAATCTTCTGGTACCAGCGAGTGTGATTCTGGTGCGTAAGCACCGTCTGTTGAATGCAAGGTAGCTCTGTGTGGCAGATGGTGCTTCTTCTATTGGACAGATCCACGGATGAAAGGTCAATAGAAAATTCAACTCTGCTACAGGTGATCAAGACTGAGCATCGCGTGGATGCAAAACCACAGTCCAACTATCCGTCGCGATCGCCGTTAAAACACTTCCTAGAGGAAGCTGACTGCTCACCAATGCGAACTTGATATCCTTGCAACCCACAAATTTGGATTCAAAGTTGACTTTCTTCTGCTCCTCAACAGGGATGAGGAGCGGCGTGTCCGGTTTATACTCGACCTCCTTTTCGGCTTTGAGCTTGCCATCCGAGCCGAAACACTCGAAGTTGATCTTACATTGCACCAGCGCTGAGAAGAGACCGGTGCCGAGTGCGGCTACGCAATGGAGGTAGAGGGAGACTAATTCGATCGACTTGTACGGTGAATCTGGGTAGTCAACCGTCACAGACGCGGGTTTAAGATCGGGCAGCGTGCTGCGGAACGCTGTTGAGGCGACTTGCGGTGGGGTTTTTGGCCTGATACCCAGGAAAGTGATGTTTGCGACGCCCAGCGCTCCTGCGGAGATGGAGGTGAACTGAATGCCTTTGTAGATCGTAATGGGAGTGACGACACCTGTAGGGGGGATTTCAAGGTCCTCAAACTGGGTTGAAAGAAGTCGTTGTCAGTTCTTGACCACCAATCATTGGGTAATGACAAAATACTCACGTCGAAGAGCTGCGTCGTTCTTCGGTCTAAGTGAGCCGATCGGACAACAACAGGCCATAAAAAGACGGCGATGAAAACAAAATCTTGGACCCGCATGATTGCAAAGGAGATGGAGAGTGAATATATACGGGTGTCTGGATAGTGCGGTGAGTGTGATCACTGGGGCAGAATGTCTTGAGCTTTATACCTCAGGAGTACGCCCGGTCGTAGCCTTTCTGTACAGCAATCCGTAGTTCTGTGTCGAGGCTGCTACGGATATGACCGGGGACGGCGTTGATACAACACAAAACACCGATATAGCGAAGTGAGCTGAATGTGAGTTCATGCGCGCATTCTCTGAGAAGATGCTAACGCTAGCCGCGATGGGTAGAGGTTGCATCATAGAGCGATGGACTGGATTGGCGTTCAAAGTGGCTTGTAGTCCAAGAGGGTCTCAGGTGCCGAATGCTGCAACTGCGTTACACGCAGTCTCAGTCTGAGCTACGATATGTAGGAGCATCCTACCAGAGATGAAGAAGTGCCATAGGTAACGGCTCTTAATGGCCGTGTCTTTCTTTCGGTGGGTCTTGTACACGAAACATACGATTAAAGACACCAGCTGATGGGTGAGAATGCGATCCAAAACGCGTCATGGTGAACTCGAGTCCTACCAGAGACGTGAGGTCGTGGAGACTATACGAGAATGATGAGTGTGAAGTAGGATGTCGCGATGTGTGATGTATTGGGTCGCTTTGTCGTGACATGTGACAAGCACTCGGTTGAGACATTCCGTTGCGCCGAGTGACACTAAAGTGAAGGCCCACGGCGGTATACTCCTGCACCAAGTGAATGTCAGTCGTGAGGCTTCCAGAGTATCGCCAGTCCATAATTTAGCGTTAGCCGAGGGTGCATGAGAATGCAGGGCGGTTGCGGGTGGGATGCCATGACGGAGGCGGAATGGACCGGTTTGGCGCACGAAGACATCCCGCGGCCGGTGGAGCTTTCTTTTTCTGTATCCGAGCTTTGCGCAACCCTCCCGCCGCGACCACCCACCTCGACGACCTGCTACCACCACCGTGTAGCTCCAATTGGGTCGTGACAACCTTGAAATACCCTCACCATGTTGGCTGCTCGCTCCTTCGCCGCCCCTGCGCGGCAATGCATGCGCCAGGCTACCCGCGCACGATGGGCGCCCGCGCTGTCCCAGGTGAGCTTCCCGCGGGACACTCGATTCTTGCGCCTCAAGACACTGGGTGTATAGGAAGAGAAAAAATAGCCTGGGGTTATCTAACATGTTGTAGATCTCCGCCCGCACATACGCCTCCGAAGTCGCCAAGTTCCACGGACAGAAGGGCAGCGACGGCAAGTACTCCGTCACTCTAATCGAGGGTGATGGTATCGGCCCCGAGATTGCGCAGTCGGTCAAGGACATCTACTCGGCCGCCAACGTCCCAATCAAGTGGGAGTCGGTCGACGTCACCCCGCGCCTGAACGAGGACGGCAAGACGGTCATCCCCGACGAGTCCATCGCCAGCGTCAAGAAGAACTTGGTCGCTCTCAAGGGCCCCCTCGCGACCCCCATCGGCAAGGGCCACGTCTCGCTCAACCTTACTCTCCGCCGTACCTTCAACCTCTTCGCCAACGTCCGCCCCTGCAGATCCATCGCCGGCTACAAGACGCCCTACGACGACGTCGACACTGTCCTGATCCGTGAGAACACCGAGGGAGAATACTCTGGCATCGAGCACATTGTCGTAGATGGCGTTGTCCAGAGCATCAAGCTCATCACCCGCGAGGCTTCTGAGCGCGTTCTGCGATACGCCTTCCAGCACGCCCGCGACATTGGCAGGAAGAAGGTCCGCGCTGTGCACAAGGCCACCATCATGAAGATGTCCGACGGTCTCTTCCTCAGCACCGCCCGCGAAATCTCCAAGGAGTTCCCCGACATTGAGTTCGACGCCGAGTTGCTGGACAACACCTGCCTGAAGATGGTTACCGACCCTGTTCCCTACAACGACAAGGTCCTTGTCATGCCCAACTTGTACGGAGACATTCTCTCCGACATGTGCGCTGGTCTCATCGGTGGTCTCGGTCTTACTCCCTCCGGCAACATTGGTGACAACTGCTCCATCTTCGAGGCTGTCCACGGTTCCGCGCCCGACATTGCTGGCAAGCAGCTCGCTAACCCCACCGCGCTTCTTCTCAGCTCCATCATGATGCTGCGACACATGGGTCTCACCCAGGAGGCCGCCAACATTGAGCAGGCCATCTTCAAGGTTCTTGCTGAGGGCAAGGTAAGCATCAGACATCATCTTTGTATATGAAGACATGCTAACGATGTTACAGACCATCACCGGTGACCTTGGCGGCAAGGCCAAGACCTTCGAGTACGCCGACGCCGTCATCAAGGCCCTGAAGTAGATTAGGTTATGGATTTGACGAGCATTGAACGACCGAATGGTAGCGATTGCATACTGTGGATATGTATTAGGCCTTGTACTATAGCTGCCATCTAGCTAGATATACCTCTTGAACTTTGCACGTTATGATCGATTCACTATTGCCGGAACTTGCGTGAAGTACTAGAAACGGTCATTTTAATATGTTGTTTGATATCAGCGCCGCCTGAGGTGGTAGTGACGTTAGATGTGTGCCATAGATGCGGTCTTGCAGAAGAATGGCAGCACCTCCAACGTCCAACGGCAACGCGGGCAAGTATTGCCGAGCAACATCGCGTTACCTTGACCAAGACCCCATCACAACCCCAATCTCCCAATGCCACCCAAACCTCCCATCCGGCTTCCTGCGAAACCTCCTACTGCACCGAAAGCGTTCGCGAAGCCCTCACTACCGGTTCGACCCGCAAATCCAGCCCCGCGCACTCCGCATCCATCAAAGCCCACCCCAGCAACACCATCTCGCACCGCTCCCCCACCACCACCACCATCACCCCGATGGCATGAAACCGCACGCGCTCGCACAGGCGGCCGCTACCTAAAATGGGGCACAAACGGCATCGTAGCCATCTGCGCGCTCCTCTGGATCCGCGACCACTTCATTGAAATCCAGCATGTGCGTGGCTCCTCCATGGCACCGACCCTCAGTCCTGACGCACACGAGACAGGTCGGGAAGATTATGTTATTGTGCGACCGTATCAGGAGCGGAGAGATGGCAAGAAACGGGCTGTGAAAGGAGAGAAGGGGGAAGATGGGAAGGATGGCGCTATTTTCTGGGGCGTAAAAAGAGGCGACGTAGTAACGTTCTGGAAACCGCATAAACCGGGGGAAATGGGGATAAAACGCGTTGTCGCGGTGGAAGGGGATACCGTTTATCCTACACGGGGTTACGCGCTTGATCCTGCTTCGTTCAAGGACAGGTTGAAAGGTGTACCGGATGGACTACCTGATCACGACGAGGACAGCGTTGCGGCTAGAGATGGGGAGGAGGTGGGTAAGGTTGTTGTGCCGTATGGACATGTGTGGATTGAGGGGGATAATTGGCGGAAGAGTTTGGATAGCAATGATTTTGGGCCGATTAGTAAGGCGTTGATACAGGGGAAGGCGGTGAGGGTTTGGAGGGACTGGTTGGGGCTGAGGGAGGTGGGGGATGAGAGGGTGAGGGGGGAGAGGGGGAATAGAAGTAGGGTTGTGGAGGGGAGGAGTGAGGTTCCTGCGGTGTTTTTGGATGGGTGATCGTAAGAGAGTGATGGGATGAATTGATACCCAATAAGGATGGAAAGACTGTTGCGGTAGTGGATAGGTTTGTACATGTATATCTACCCCATTCAGTCTCTCTTGAAAAGCGTCTCAATCTCCTTACAAACCGCATCGGTCACACCCTTCGTATTCTCACTTCCACCCAGATCCTTCGTCTTAACCCCCCTCTCGGTAACATTCTCAATCGCCTTCATCAACCCATCAGCCGCCTTCTCCTCCCCGACCCACCTCACCATCTCCGCCGCACTCCAGAACGCACCCACGGGATTCGCAATTCCTTTCCCCGCGATATCCGGCGCAGACCCATGAATAGGCTCAAACATACTCGGGTTCTTCCTCGTAGGATCGAGATTCGACGACGGCGCGATACCAATCGAGCCACTCAGCGCAGCCGCAAGATCAGACAAGATATCCGCGTGTAGATTTGTCGCAACGATGGTGTCGAGCGAGGAGGGATGCAGCGTCATGCGCACCGTCATGGCGTCCACAAGCATCTTGTCTATCTCCACGTCCTCGTACTCTTTTGCGACTTCGTAGAAGACTTTGTCCCAGAGGACCATGCCGTGGCGCTGTGCGTTGCTCTTGGTCACCATGGTGAGCTTCTTGCGTGGTCTTGAGCGCGCGGTCTCGAATGCATATCGCATTACGCGCTCGATGCCCACGCGTGTGAAGATGCTTACTTCAGTGGCGATGGTGTGCGGGCTGTCTTCGTGAGATGTGCCGCCTTGGCCGGAGTACTCGCCCTCGCTATTCTCGCGGATGATCATCCAGTCGAGATCGCCGGGTTTACAGTTTGATAGAGGGGATGTGGTGCCAGGGAGGATGCGTGTAGGTCGGACATTGACGTATTGGTTCAGCGATTTTCGGATTGGCAAGATGAGTGACCAGAGGGATATATGGTCTGGTACGTTGGGCCAGCCGACGGCACCGAAGTAGATGGCATCATAGGCTTTTAGTTGCTCGAGACCGTCCGATGGCATGTACCATCCTCGCTCGAGATAGTTCTTGCTACTCCAGTCAAAGGTTGTGAAGTCGAATTCGAAGCCGCCGATGGTTTTGCTCAAGACGTTGAGGACTTGGATGGCGGCTTCTGTTATGTCGACGCCGATGCCGTCGCCGGGGATGCAGGCTATACGGTGTATGTTGGTAACAGAGTGGATATGTGACGGCATCTTAGTGGTTGAGGTTGCTGTAGGTTCGGAGATATGTTCAAGCAAGGATCAGAAGGTCCGATTGATAGAGATCGGGATGGCGATATATTACCCTGCAGGTGGTGGTGTTCTCTCGCGATCTGACGACGATAGCAAGCTCATGATGTCTTATACCGCAGGCAGGTCACGACTACCGGACATTCTTTCCCCGCCCAGGACAAACTACTCCCGGACATAATTCTACGTCCC